ATAGATAATTATTTTATTTTTTTTTAAAAAAAAAAAAAAAAAAAAAATTTTAAAAAAAAAAAAAAATAAAAAAAAAAAAAAAAAAAAAAAAAAAAAAAACACTGGCCAACAACACTTGTGAAGAACAAACACAAACAAGATCAAATCATTCAAGGATTTTTTTGTTGTTGTCTACAACAACAAAAATGCCATATGCAGAGCATCGAAAATCATCATCAAATCATCATTTTTGAAACGAATTGAATTATCATGACCGAAACAATTACAATAACAATGGCCAAACGCCTACACAAACACACATAAAAACATCGACCTCAAACCAAAAGATTGTATGTCGTCGCTGTTGTTGTTGTTGTTGTTATCATTGATGAATTGTCCTCGATCGATCCAACAAAAAACTTTTGATTGTCGACAAATTGTTTTGCTGTTGTTGTTGTTGAAAAATTCTTTCTTTCTTTCTTTCTATCCAATTAAGTGTGAAAAAAAAACAAATTTCCTAATTCATTCAATTCATGCATTCATCATTTGCGAAAAAAAAAGAAAAGAAAAGAAAGAAAATTTCCATTTGAAATTATCGAATTGAACAAGGATTATTATCATCTTTTTTTTCGTTATTCAAATTTTTGAATGATTGGATTTTGAACAAATTTTCTTCTTCTTCTTTTATTATTATTATTAGATTTTAATTGAATGAGCTTAACACATTTTGAATTTTGATTGTAGAAAATTTTTTTCTTTTCTTTGCCAAATAAATCAATCAAAATGATTAACAGATGCTAAAAATTGTTGTTTTTTTTCTCCTCTGTAATGATCATTATCACACGCACACACACGACTAGTTATTTTTTCAATATTCACATGGCAAATTGTATCCGATAATTATTATCCGAAACAAAACAAAAAAAAATTATTTGGGCCAATTTTTTCGTTATTGTTTTTGGAGAGAAAAGTTAATTTTTTTCATCATCATCGTCGTCGTTATTGATATGTTAAGATATTTAACGCATTTCGGTGCCAACACATGCTTCGAACACAATAAAAAAAATTTCAATTTAATCTTGGTTAGAGAATAGTAATATTGAAATGTTGTTGGCAAAAATTGTTGTTGGAAATGATAAATGAAAAAAAATGATAAAATTACAGGTATTTTTTTCAATTTTTGTCAAAAATAAACCAAGTTTCGCCATCTATCATTTGACACTGAAAACATTATAAACATTCGAAAAAAAATTGGTAATGATAATTATACTCACTATGGTTACAAGATTATCGTGGTCATAACTAAATTTTATGATCTACTAAAATGATGATTGATTTGAAAGAGCAAATGATAATTCACTGATGAATTTGTAATGAACAAATGATTTTAAAAAATGATCATAAATAAATGGCAATGCAATACATTCTGACATTTGATATTTTGAGATTTTTTTTAAAAAATCAGTTGTAACAAATTTTCTATTATCATGTTTGTTTTTTTCACTGATTCATCATTCAAATTATTACTATTTCCGAGAAGAAGAAAAAAAACATGGAACAATCTTCAAGTGAAGAATATTTAAAATTGATGGATGAAAATATCGATGATGATGATGATGATGGTGGTGGTGGTGGTGGTGGGAATGATGATAATACTGTCAACATTGATATTAATCAACATTACAATCGTAAATCACCAAAATGTTTTGATTGTTTTATTTTCAAAGAATTCATCAAAAATCGATCCAAATTATTTTTATCAATATTTTTATTCATCATTATATTCGAAACATATATTATAATGTATTGTAATGATAGTAATAATAATAATTTTTCAATTATCAAACAATTCAATCATACAACTACAATAATAAATAATGATTCAAATAAACATTATGATAATGAAAATGATGATGAAAAATTAAAAATTGATCAAATTCTTGAATCAATTTTACCGAAAAGAAAATCATTGAATAAATTGAAAACATTATCATTGATTGAATTGGAATCAAATTTAGCTGCATTATATACTGATGAATGGCAAACATTTAGTAATACAAAATGGTTAAATCAAAAATTATCAATGATTCAATATTGTGATAATATTTCATTGATACCAATACATGAAATTAAACAGGCAAATATTTATTGGCAAACAATTAAATCACCTTTGATTGATTTGAATATGAATATTACATTGGATGCATATGATCCATTCACAATATACATATACAATGCATATTATGATGATCGTTCTGGTCGATCGGAAGTAAAAATTCTAACATCATGTGATCAACAGGTTATTATTGAAAAACTAAAATTTGGGTAAGCAAATTAAGATAAATATAAGATTTGTTTTTAAAATTTTTATTTTTATTTTTTTAAATTTATAATACAGATGTTTGCTTTGGTTTGATGATCAAAAAGCACCAGTTATTGGTAACATAACAGAAGTGTTTACAATTTGGCCTAAATATTGGGATTTTGGTATACAACCAAATATTTATGGACCACAAATTATAACCTGTAGAATACCAGAACCATTGAATAGAATTATTCCACGTGCAATAACATTAACATCAAAACCAATGACTTGTGATCTTGGTGAAACACCTGTTGAAAATGTTGTACGTGTTATACATCGAAATGATACCAGTGATTTAATACAAAATGATGTGAATCGAAATCAAAATTTTACAATCGGTGTTTGTGTACATGCATTTCGTTATCGAACATATGATTTTAGTGTACGATTAATTGAATGGCTTGAAATGAACAGATTATTGGGAGCATCAAAAATCTATTTCTATATTTTTGATGCAACCGAATCGGTATATCGTGTTTTACGACATTATGCTAAAGAGGTGAAAAAATTTTTTTATTGATTATTATTGAATTGATTTATTATTATTATTATTATTATTTTTTTTTTGTTTAATAAAAAGGGTCTAATTGAATGGCGACGATTAACACTTCCTGGTGTACAACCAAACATTGATTCAATGTATGAATATTATTACAAACAAATAAATGGAAAATCTTTTGCAGAAGAATTGCTTGAACTAAATGATTGCCTTTATCGTAATATTTATCGTCATGATTATATTGGATTATTTGATATAGATGAAATATTAATGCCACAAAAACAATTACAAAATTGGTTTGATGTATTGAATCGAATTAAAAAACGATCTTCGATCGATGAAAAACAGGCAGGATATTTGGCACATAAACATTCATATGTTTATGAAATGTATGAAGAAATTTATCATAATGGAAAAATTATACCATCATATATGCATATAATGCGTCATACATATCGTGCAAAACCATATCAAGATGGTAAAAATACTAAATGTTTTCATCGTACTGATAAAGTGTCTGCAGTACATAATCATTTTCCAATTCGTTGTATAAATCGTACCGGTTTTTATTTTAATTGTGAAGGTATTACATTTGATGAATATGATGAATCAATTTTGATGCATTATCGACCAAATCGACAACCTGATGAACAATGTATGATCAATAAAACCAATGAACAAATTCTTCAATATTGTACAATAAATGATCATACAGCATGGAAATGGTATGATATATTAGTAAAAAATGTTCGTCAAAAACTGATTACAATATTTGGTAATGATGAATAACTAAAAATCATAAGTTTATTTCAATTTTAAATTTTTAAAAATTTTTAAAAATACAATTTTTACAAAAATAAAATTTTCAATTTATTTTAAAAGATTTAATAAAGAACGTTTTTCGATAATTTCGATCCACAATTGGCTAATTTGATTATCGAATTGAAAACATGATTGACATTGTATTAATCGTTGTCGTAATTGTTGTAATCGTAATTTCAATTCATCCAATCGATCTTGGAATAGTTTTGCATTTTTCAATAGCTATTTAATCCGAAAAAAATGATAAACAAAGACTTATTTATTTAACAAACAAAACAAAATTCATACCGTCAATATAAACAATCGATCTCGTTGAATGATTGCCATCAGATTTTGATCATATTCATTGAATTCTTGTTCAAGTAACGAGAATATATCCTGACAAATATAATCTGGTGATGATAGACAATGTAATGATTTTCGTACAGCTTCCATTTTTTTGGTGTAAATCTTAAATTGTTTCAAACAAAAAAAACAAATTCATTAAAAAAAACAACAGAAAATTTAGTGTTTATACACGATTTAGGAAAAAATTCGATATTCGAATAACTTACATTATATGAATAGGGTATTTTGTGCCGCAAAAGAAAGAGGACGCTTTCATCGTTCGGTGTGTTGTGCTCAGCTTTTGTTCTTTTTTTTTTTTTTTTTTTTGATATTTCGCTCGTTTCGAACTTGCTTTTGTCATTCGATTCGAATATTGACGATTTATTACTGTTGTCTTCCAAGATAAAAACGATTCGGTTTTGTTGTTTTTTTATTTGGAACAAAATAAAATCTTAACAAAATAAAAATTGACAAATTTAAAAACGATATAAAAATGATGGCACGTCGTGAATCCGTTCCATTGGATTGTAAAGTTTATGTTGGTGAATTAGGTAACAGTGGTAATAGACATGAACTTGAAGATGCTTTCGGTTATTATGGTCCATTACGTGAAGTTTGGGTTGCACGTAATCCACCAGGTTTTGCATTTGTTATGTTTCAGGATGCTCGTGATGCACGTGATGCTGTTCGTGCTTTGGATGGAAAGTAAGTTATTATTTTGTTTTTGTTTCATTATGATCATAATCATAAATTAATTTTCAGATTGATTTGTGGCCGTCGTGTACGTGTGGAATTATCCACTGGTAAATCTCGACATGAAAAACGTGGTTTTCGAATTCGTGATGGACCTGGCGGACCACGTGGAGGTTATGGAGGACCTGGCGGTCCACGTGATGGATCACCAAGACGACCACGTGGTGATCCATATGGGCGCGGTATGCCTGATCGTGGTCCACCAGGACCTAATGGTCCAGCTGGTGGCCGTTATGATGATCGTTATGCTCATCGAGGTCGTGGTTATTCAAGGTAAGTAACGGATATATGGATTTTTTTTCGTCACAGAATTATTACCATTCAACATTGATGATCATCTTTGTTCTGTTGAAAATTATTTAAATCTAAATCGATCAACATTTTGTTGTATCATGACAATGGCTCATCTTATATATTCGATGATTTTGAGCCCGAATTTTTTAAATATAACAACGGTGGTGTGTATAACCATTTATATATGATGAATGATGATAATGATGTTGAGCTAATTTTTTGAATTTTTTTTCACATACAACACATTTTCTCGATATTCCTCAATTTGGAATTTGAAAAAAAATGAGAAACGAAAACAAAAGCCTAAAAGTTTGGCTTATTGCGAATTTTTTAAAAATATTCGATAAACAAATCATGATCAATGATATATATTCAATGATCTTATTATGATGATGGTATGATGATGGTGTTTGCAAAAAAAAAATGATCAGATTTGATAATCCAACAAAACACAACATGTTAATCAACAGCAGCAGCAACAACAACAAACAGCTAAAGCGACATTTATATAATTCTTATGCAACTGAAAAAAAAAGAAAAGACAATCAACCGATTCAAATTGTCAACAATCAGCCAAAATGATTGTGATTAAATGAAATCAAAACGATTTTGTTTTATTTTCTGAATGATCGAATTATATAAAACATTTAGACATCATCATCATCATCATTGAAATCATCACAGTTTTTTTTTCTTTCGAAATCATTTCATCATCCCTTTTTTATTCGTTAAATAATATGACCAACAACAAGAGCAACAATAACAACAAACAACAGCATCAGCTAGAAGTTTAAAATTTTTTTAAAGATTTTTTTTCGAAATATAGAAGAAAACAAAAAAGAAATTCAGCAAATATAACAACATCGACAACAGCAGCAACTAAAACAAAAGCAGCTCAGCTCATCTTTTGAAACAACAAAAATATTCTACTTGATCGATTTAGAGGATGTATAATTTTTATATCTTTAATAATGAAATTTTCAACCAAAAAAAATACACACCACCAAAAAAAAAAGAGAATATTCGGAGCTAGAATTCTGGGTTTTACATCTCAACCAAGTTTTTCTTTCTTGATTCATTATCAACTCAGCCGCAACAGCATCAGTCGTCAGCTCAACTGAGCAGGCATCCCCCATCTTTCATTTGGTCATCATTGATTAGTTAGTTAATTAGGTTTTTTTCTGGTCATTAAAAAAAAGGATTAGGGAATGGATCTCATCCGTAAACATCAATCAACTTATTATTTTGAAAAAATAAAGAATATCAAAAATTAGGTTCGAATGAATATTTTCATCTATGTCAGTTCTTATTTTTCCAGCTTGTCTTCAAGCCAGCTTTTGACCTGATTTTAAGGTCCGTAAAATTTGTTTTTATTTTGTAGGTGTGACTTTGTATTGTTTGAGTTTGATATTTTTCATTGAAAAAAAATGATATTTGTAAATGATAATCATAATCTGATAATAATCATCTTATTTTATCTTCTTTCATCTAATCAATTATCATCATCGAATTCGAATGATTTAACAACCAATCAACCAACCAACAAATGAAAAAGAAGCCGAAGCCGTTCACCATCACCGATTGTTCGTGGTCGGCCACGAACACCGCCATCAAGATCACGATCACGTTCGCCGATTCCAAAGTCACCGTTATCAGATCGTTATGGTGTGTATTGAAACGTAATCGAAAATAAAAATCATTTAACCAATTCAAAAACATAAAATGTCAAATCAAATATTTTTTCGTATTTTGTGGATGTTATTTTCATTTTGATTTGATTACATTTTTTATTTTCGTTTGCCTGTCTCTCAAAATTCAAATTTCTTTTTATTTGATGAAAGAGGTATTTTTCTTTCATTCATGCACTTTTTTTTGTTTCCTTTCTGTTTTTCTAATATATTTACCAGATTATTTTATCATTTAATTGATTCCTTTCTTTGTTTTTTTGTTTTCTTAAAAAATAATGCTTTGTATTTAGCCTTGAAAGAAAAAGAATCCTGTTAAACAACTCATATTTCCATTTCTTTATAATTATGATCAAATTATTATAATTCATGAATGTTTTTTCATTTAATTAATTGTTTTCTTTTTTTTCTCTGAACAGACGATCATCTTTGAAATGTATCACCGTCATTAAACATGTGTGTGTTTTTGTTGTGATTGAAAATTATGATCAATGGCCATCATCATTGTCATTATTTTTCAAGAAAAAAAAATAAACAAAATACACCATCATCATATTTGTCTTTATCATCTGAATCAATCTCACCCATAATAATTATTCATCCATTGCAACATTCATTTAACATTTTTCTCTGCATATTTTGTATTGATCAACCCGTTTATACCATCACACGGATTCAAATGATGACGTTTGATAGTTCGCTAGCGCACACATTGACACAATCCTAAAATTCTTTTTTTTTTTTTTAATCAAAAAATTTTTCCAGCAAATTTTTTTCTCCCTTTTTTAGTTTAAATTTTCCTTGCAGCCAAATTTTATTATCAAAAATAATTATTATATGATTGAATCGAAAGAGTTGAACAATATGAAATTCCCCTGCCCATTTATTTTTTAAAAAAATAAACTTTTCTTTGAATAAAACAAAAAATTCTTCCACTTGTTTTTTTACCCAAATATTAAAATAATTATTATTTCGGATTCCAAGAAAAATCTCTATCATTTTAATACATTGAAATTGCAGATAAATGTAGGCAGATAAAATTTATCATTTCGAAACATTGGATTTGATGATCATCATCGGTGTTTTTGATATTGATTTTTTTTTCTTTTGAATAGTTACAATGAAAAAATTTTTATTTTGATTGGATGAATATTATTGATTTTGAATGAATTATTTTAGAAATTTATTCAAAAAGTTATGACGTATTGATTGTTATATAAAAAAAATCATTGAATTCATTAATTAAAAATGTTAATTTGTAGCCATCAATTCTATTTCTGTTTTTTTTTCGGAAATTTCAAAAGAATGAAAATATAATTATGATTTGGAAAAATAAAAATTAAATCTCTTCTTCTTTTAAATCATGATAATTTCCATCATTCATTTGATGTAAACTTTTACTTTTTTTTTAATGCTGACAATGCAAAAAAAAAGATGAAATTTTGATAGAAAGAATATGAATGTAATCAATATTGTTCGACTTACAGTTATCCAAATCAGTAAATCAATATAATTTGATGTGACTTTTTTTTCATCGTATTCAAGGACAATTTAGAAATTATTAAATAAATTTAGATAACTTTGTTATGGTTGTTGTTATCTGTCTTATATTCATTGATCATCATATAACGGCAAAAATAATGTTAACGAATAAGAAAAAAAAGTAACAAAAATTCAAATTCTAAAGCAATAAATTGGCTGCATATTACTGGTTGAAAATCATTTCATCTTTTTGTCGTTGTTTGGTGTGTTGATCGCAAAATTTAACTTCTTTTTTTTGCCCTGTGTGTTTTTTCTCTTCATTATCAGATTCAAAAAAAAAGAAAGAAAATTTTATCTGATTAAATTTTGATCTGAAAGAAATGATTGAATTAACAGAAATTGATGAAATGTCATCGATAAATCAAACTGTTGAATATGATGATGAAAAAGTATCTATTGCATGGAGAAATCTTCGTTATGAAGCATATCCGTTTGGTATACGTCGTATCGGTAAAGGAAAGACAATTTTACGACGTCTAAATGGTCATCTTTTATTCAATACATTGAATGGTTTTCTTGGTCCGAGTGGTGCGGGAAAAACAACATTATTGAATTGTTTAAATGGTACATTAAAATCCGGTCTTAGTAACGATAGTGAATTATATTTGAATCGATATTATAGTAATATTGGTTATAAACCAATCATACGATTTATTGAACAACATGTACATGAAACAATTATCGGTATTATGACCGTTGGTGAAATATTATATTATGCATTTCGTTTTAAAAATTCTATTTCAATGCGACAAAAACAATATTCAATAAATGAACATATTGATAAGATTTTTTCCGAACTTATATTGGATAAAGCGATTTTGAAACGTCGTTTTGATCAATGTAGTGGTGGTGAACAAAAACGAATCGCAATTGCACAAGAATTAATGTCATTAAAAATGCCATCGTTTTTGTTTCTGGATGAACCAACAACCGGTTTAGATAGCCATGCTGCATTACTTATGGTTCGTTGTTTACGTAATCTTATCGATAATCTTAGTAAAGAATATCGATTTACAATTCTTGCATCTATTCATGCACCAAATTCAGATATAATAAATTTATTCGATAAAATTTATATTCTTGCACGTAATGGTTTTTGTATCTATTCTGGATCACCAAAGCTACTACGTAACAATATGATCGATGAACATTTAGAATTTGATGATAATAATTTTCGAACACCGATTGAAGAATTTATGCGTATCGCTTGTAAAGATATCGATGATAATAATGTACGTAAATTAGCTACAAAATGTTTTACTACCGAAAATGAAATCCTACGACCTTTAATCGATCGTATGCAATTTCTCGATAATGGTCTTTCAATCCGATATAAATCATTTAATTTTCAAGATTTTTTATTTCAATTGATTCGAATGTTTCAACTAATTTTCATCAAACAAATTAAAAATCGTATCTTTACAATAATGGTATTCATCATTCTATTTTATTTTCACGCATCATTGTTGGATCCAAGAATGGTTGAGCCGGATACTTGTACACTTTTCGATGACCCCAATCAAAACTTGTTGAATCTTACATGTCAAGACAGAGTTCACTCTCGTTTCATGGTCGATATGTATTTCCATTATCAAGGTTTTGCAATTGCATTTTTTGGTTTTCTACTAATTGGACTTAGTTCGATTGTATATAGTGAATTGATGAAAATAATCGATAATGAACATCGTAATGGTAAGTAAATTATATTTTAAATCAACTACAAATTTATGTCAATCAATTTATATTTGGAAAAAATAAAGGCTGGTGTAACATAAATGTGTTTTATTGGTCAATCACATTGATACGTCTATTAGAATTGATCATATTGACTTTATTGACAACATCGTTGGTTTATTTTTTAGTCAATCATAATTATGTTGATAATGGACATTTTAATTGGAATCGTTTTGGTCATTTTGCTTTATTTTTCTTTCTGTTTGCATTTAATATACAATCCATAGGACATTTTATTAGCTGTGTAATAAGCCAACCAATCGCTGCACCAATAACAGCAAGTTCAGTGTTGTATTTTATAATCAACGGTTATGATGGTTATTTGTTTCCTGATAAATATTTTTATCTATCATTTAATCGATTGTTGACAAAATTATTTGCAAGTAATGTCATTACTCATGGCCTATTATATTCGTTCTATTATCTGGATCGTTGTGATCCAACCACACAGATATCAACCGTTTTTTTGGACTATAATATCGATCCGGAACGAATATTTATCAATATCATACCATTCTTGATTATCACTATTTTACTTCGATTATGGACATCAATTTGTTTCATTGTAAAATTTCGATCCATTACTTTATTCGATCATTCATTCAAACGTTCAGATGAATATCAAAGCAAATTGATTGATTTCGAAACAGATACAAATACAGATACAGATACAGATACAAAACAGTCATGCCCACTTGATATGAACAATAACACTCATCAACGAATTAAAACGGAAAAAGAAATTGAATTTCAAAAATTCTGTCAAGATAAAATTATTATTGGTTGGCGCTCATTGAGTTTGTTTGCAAAGGATTCGCTGTATAAAATGCAATCAACAAAAAATATTCAACCAGATTCATCAGAATTAATTCTACGAAATCTTAACGGACAATTCCGTTTTGGTACAATAAATGCATTGATGGGTACATCTGGTGCAGGAAAAACATCATTATTACGTGTATTGAATGGTCAGAATAAAACACGTTTAAGTTTGGAAAGTCAATTTTATCTCAGCAAATACACACCAATACGAACGTCTTTTATAACGCAAGAAATTTCTGGCCATCTTATGCCCGGTTTAACAGCTAAACAAAGTTTAATCTTTGCATCACGATTGAAAAATCTTAATGACAGCAATGTTGATCATGAAAAAATAGCAACGACTTTATTAAATGAATTGAACATACTTTATACGGCTGATACATTAGTGACAAAATGTTCCGGTGGTGAACGTAAACGTCTTGCATTAGCATTAGAATTAACATCCATACGAATGCCAAATTTTATCTGTATTGATGAACCAACAAGTGGTTTGGATTCTAATTCAGCTGAAATACTTATATCATGTTTACGGAGTATGAGTCATCGTCATAAAATAACACTTGTAATAGCCATACATCAACCGAATACAGATATATTGAAAATGTTTGATCATGTTTATTTACTAGCACGCGGAGGTGTTTGTATCTATTCTGGAACACCAGATAATATTAATGAATTTGTTCGACAAGTTTCTCCTGTTGTTGATGATTACGATGCTTTTCCCCTCGAAGAATTGATACGATATTCTTGTCGAAATCATCACGATGAACAAATTAAACGCTTGGTACAGGCAACCAATGAAACAATTCTTAATGATGACCAAGAAGGAAAAAAATTATTCATTGATTGTCAATCGGTCTCTAATGGATTTCCGATAAATCGTACACGTTTTTCGTTGAATTCTATTAACATTCTTTTTCAACGACAATATTATTGTTATGGTAATTATTTATGGCCATTAATATTGTTTTTCTATGCATCTAGTTTACTCCTTAGTTTAAATTACCGTTTACTATTGAATCCAAAAATTGCTGAGCGTAAGGGTTGTGTTAGTTTCGATGAGGATTTCCTTCATACATGTAATTATTCGAGAGGGATGAAAATGGATTTGATTCTTAGTTATCGTTATAGTTATTTCATTTATAGTACATCGATGTTCTTACCAATCGGTATTAGTGCATTGCTTTATTATCTGGAATCAAAAAATATGATCAATGAATATCAAAATGGTATGTATAAATCTACCCCAAATCCTAGTCTAATTCTGATCATTATTTATATTTTATCAGGTTGGTATACTACGGGTGTGATTTATTTGGTCCGTTGGTCGACACATGCGGTCATCATTTTGCCCATTATAATCATACATCATTATATTACAGATATCTTTGATTCAGTACGACCAGGAATATTTTATCCATTATTGTTTGTGTATCTATTGACGGCTATTGCCGCACAAGGTCTTGGTTATATCTGTGGAATTCTTTTTGGCTCGAATTTGACCTATCTATGTATATCATTGCCAAGTTTATTTCTCATATCGATAATAGTTATATTGTCAGAGTATGCAAAATCGATACCATTTTTTTATCCATTTATCAAGTTCAATCCGATTCGTTATCTTAATGAAGCATCTCTTGTATTACAATATGGTTTTGGTCGTTGTGGTCCACGTGAAATATCCTTGATTCTATACAAATTGGACATAAATCACGATGATTACTTTTATGAATGTATATTACGTACTATAATCAATTTGATCATCTATCATTCGATCGCATTCTCAATTCTTTATTATCAACGTAACAACTTTAATAATCGAGAACGAATGGAGAAATTGCAACAATCGCATCAAAATCAAAGACAATCGTTGAATATAATGATACCTGGATTGACATGTGATCATCAATTTACCATTAAGCAATTTAGAAATTAATTTTTAAAATTAAAAAAAAATCATTTGTTGCATAAAAATCTGCAATAATCAAATAAAGATTTTCGAAATTTAAATTTTACTTTCTGGAATACTTTTCGGAAATAAATTTGCATTACATATTGGTAAATTTTTCGGTAAAATCAAAAATGCAGCCAGTTCTGTTTTCTGGCTTTTATTTTATCCAAATCATGCATCGAGATTGATGGATGGTGATATAAAAACAACCGGCTTATTTGGCAATTTTTAATTGATTTTAATTGTAATCCAACTTTTAATCCAACAACTCATTGTTTTGATGTTAATTTGATTTTTATTAATTGAAATACTTGAGTTGATTTGATACTCACCGAAGCGTAATTGTAGGCAACGATGGCTAAATCAAGAATACCGGTGGCTGTCAAAAGTCCAGCAACCAAAAATAATGATAATCAAAAGTCAAATAAAAAGAATAAAAAAGTGACCGGTGGTGCTGGTGGTGATAGCGGGTCGAAATCAAAGAAAAACAATTCAAATCAAGCTCCAATAATGACAGCAATGATGAGTGAAGATTCATCATCCAATGATGATAAACAAACAGAAATGAAAAGTTCATTGAAAAAGCACTCACTGAAAATCGATGATCAAATCAATGAACATGATGAATGGATTTCACCGATACAGAATTATTTTATTTGGTTAATATCTGCCATTTATTTGTTTGCATTCGTTTCGTTCTACATGCAAATTCGTGGCCTTTATGGCAACAAAGGTGTACTGCCGTTACGATATTTTGCCGTAAAATATGTTGATTCAAATGAAAATGCATCATTGGATTCTATTAATCGTGCTGTTCCATCATTGGTTTGGTATCTTGCATCCACTCAAGGCTTTTCATTAACATCATCATTGGAATTGATTAGCATAGCCGGATCATTGATTTCATTCATTCAGCTATTATCGAATTCATTTCGTACGCCTATCATTTATTTTCTGTTATTCATACTCTATTATTCTTGTGTCAATGTAAGTCTCATTTTTTGATTGTGAATTTTTTGTTATTGTTTTTGCTAATTTATGTCTTCAATAAGGTCGGTCAAACATTTCTGTACTTTCAATGGGATGCCTTTTTACTTGAAACCGGTGCTTTAACAGTACTTGTTTCAATTCGTTGTACCGAATATGGAAGCCGTTCATTTTTGAATCGTTTTCGTCCATATCCTCCATTGGTTCTTTGGACCGTACGTTGGCTATTATTTAAATTTATGCTTTCATCTGGTATCGTAAAATTTACATCCCGTTGTCCATTATGGTGGTCATTACGATCATTGGATGTACATTTTGAGTCACAACCTTTGCCAACACCATTTGCATGGTATGCTCATCAGATACCACAGAATTGGCTTCATTTGGCCGTTGTCATACATTTTGTCATAGAAATTGCCGTTCCATTCATGTTCTTCACACCGTTTCGAACCTTGAAATTATTATCATTTTACACTCAGATATTCCTACAGATTATGATCGCTTTGACTGGAAATTATAATTTTTTCAATCTGTTAACAATGGTATTATGTTTGACATTACTTGATGATGATATGTTCCGGCGACGACGGCCACAACAAACTGTTCAAACGGAATCTACTATGGAAAGAAATTCAATGGAGATCTGCATATTCGGCGCAATTATTGGAATGTTAGCCTATTATACAGTTTATTATTTTGATGTAATGTTTCATTGGAATGATCTACTAAATGGGCCAACAACTAAAGTCAATTTTACTTATGATCAATTTAATTTATTTGTTATACAAACGGTAACTGCTTCGATTGTATTGGGAATCATTTCGTTGACATGTATGGCATTGATTGCATTATATAAATCCATTTCATATGGATCAATTACTGGACGTATTGTTCATTTGATAATGACAATGTTTTATGTTATTATTTGTGCGTCAATAATGGCCATATCGATCGTACCATTGGCTGAATTGGATACGACTGGTTATCATATGAAATCAACAGTCCCGATGGAAATTCGTCGTTGGTATCAGAATGCTCAGCATCATCATCTTGTATCATCATATGGATTATTTCGTGTAATGACTGGTGATGGTGGCCGTCCTGAATTAATTATTGAAGGATCGAATGATGCAAATGCAGCCGATGGTAGTGTTGGTGATTGGCGTCCATATTATTTCCGTTATAAACCAGTTGATTTATATCAATCACCTGCTTTTGTTGGTATGATATTTTTATCATGTTTTTCGTTGTTTATTTTTGATTGACAATTTTTTTATCTTTTCTCTTTTGAAAATATAACTTTAGTACCACATCAACCACGATTAGATTGGCAAATGTGGTTTGCAGCATTGGATAGCTATCAGAATAATCCATGGCTTTTAAATCTTTGCTATCGAATATTAACTGGTGAATCGGATGTACTCAATCTATTAGATACGACACGTTTACCGTTTGATAAACCACCGAAATTTTTACGTATTAGTCGTTATATTTATAAATATACTGGTATGATTAATTATCATTTTAAAATTTGTATTTAGATAAATCATAAATGTATGTTTATTTTCTTCGTACAGATTCATTAAAATATCGAGCATGGTGGCATAAAGTAACAAATCGTCATGCCTATCTACCAATGGTAACAAAAGAAACATTGGAAAGTGCATTAAAATTGGTGGAATTAAAAAAACAAATGTCACCGGCATTAAACATGGCTAGTCGTGATCGTTCATGGACTGAATTAGTTCAATCATTAAATTGGTTACATTCATTTTTAGTTGCAAATAATTCATGGCTAACAGCACCGGTTATTATTTATACATTAATATCGTTTGTAGCCGTTATCAATTTTCTTCGATCATCATCATCATCATCGAAATTAAAGCCAAAATAGTTTAACCTTTTTTTGAAAAACTATTGAATGTAGAAAATCTATCAATTCTTTATATCTGTTCGAGTGGTGCCAATTTTTGAACTTAAAGGATTAGGCAACAGGAAAAAAAACATTCTTATGATAATTTTAAATATTAAAGCTTTAATAATAATAATAAAAAAATCTTAATTTTGTTTTCATTCTGTGTGATGGAAAAAAATAGTGTTTGTTATACATGTGAGAAAAAAAAAATCAAAAATCGAATGATTAGAAATATTGTTTTTTTTCCATTGAATTTCATATTGATTAAACAAGCGGATGAAATTGAAATTGGATACTTTTGTTTCTGTTTGTTTTGATAATCATTCAATTGGAATATAAATAAATTTTTCATAATTTTAATCAATCATTCATTGATGATAATGAAAACTGAAGATTGGGAAAAAAAAGGAAAACCGACCCGATTTCAGGCTTCATTCAAAAAAAACCAATATTTCTTTTTTTCATTTAATCAATCCAAATATATTTTTTTCTTGTCTATTACGTTATGATAATGATGATTATCATCAAATAATCATCCATTTTCTCATACAAATGGAATCGAATTTAAATTGGCCATGAAAAAAAATGAATAAATAAAAGGAGGCGAATCCAACAAACAAAATATATAAACATACATTTACCAAATAAATACGCATTTGTTTTTTGTTGGTCAATATTACAAATTAGAAACAAACAAAAAAATTGTCACTATTATTTTGGGTTTACTTGACACCGACCGATGTTTTGATGCATAAATAAATAGTTGAAATTGAAACTGAACAACGAATTTTTTTTCCGATCTTTTGAATTTTATTTCGTGTTAAAATCATGAATCATAATAATCATTATCATCATCTTCGTCATTCAAATCTGTCAATCATATCGATTGTTTTATTATTGATAACAATCTTTTTTATCAATAAATCATTGGCATTTGTTGAAGAATATCGTTTTGATCCACATCCTCATCTACCAAGGGAAGCACCGGAACCCGAACCAGAACCTGAACCTTATACATGGGGTTATATGACACCTATTTGTGAACAGATTTGTCGCAATGGTCATACATGTAAAAAATTGATAAAAATATTGGCTGATCAAATTGATCATTGTATAGCCGGTTCATTATATAATTGTGTGGCAAATCAACCGTTTCATATACAATTTTCGAGTAAAGAACGTTATCGTCGATATTATCATATGATGAATGAAAAAAATGTTCAATGTCCAATACGTTTGAATCAATGTCCACAAGGTTTTCTACCCAGTGGTTTTGGTAAAAATGATCAACAACGACAACGTTGTATTCCAATAACACAATGCAAATATTTGCAGCAAATTTATTCACATCTAAATGAAATTCATGATGGAATTGATTGGTGTTGATGATAATTGGATCAAATGCATTTCTAAATGATTAGAAAAATTGCTGAAATTGATATATTTCATCCATACTGTTAGTTTTTTTTGTTTGTTTTTATTTTGTTTTTTTTTTTGCTTTATTCATCTTAAATTTTAGTGAACAAAATTTGTTGTTGAAAAAAATCTTGATTAAAATCTTCATTTCAATAAATGTGTTTATTGCAATCAAATGTGCAATTTTTGTTTGTTTGTTTCGCTTGTGATGATCATGATATAAACATTTATTTTTGGTTCAATCAAAAATGTATTTCCATTAGTGAAGTTTTGTTGTTGTTCATTATTAATTTCGGTTTGTTTAGATTTCATTCGCAATTCTAAGGGAAAAAATTGAGGCCGAATCGTTTTTTTAAAGTAAAAGGAAAAGAAAATCAATCGATTTGATTAGATATTTTTTTAAAAAGATTTTTTAAAAGATTGTTGATAAAGTTGATTTTTTTCCAATTTTGTCGTCAATTTTAAATTTCAAGATTCGAATTGATTATCGACCCAAACCAAATGCATCGACATTAATATTTGGACGTCGTCCAATTCCACGTCGATCAAGATCGAAATTGACCAGACCACTTAATGCTCTTAGATCAAGACCGCGTCCACGACCACTACGACTACCACTTCGACGGCCATAATTTAGATTGACAAAATCACTAATTTGATATTTTAAAACACGAAAAAGAAAAATGATAAAAATTTTTTATTAAAATGAAAATTACCCAACATCAACATTAAAACCGTCCGATGTTTGACGATAAATCTGTGCCGAATTTGATTTCACATCAAAACATAAAATCAACAATAAAATAATGTTCAATAATGAAAGAATTTTCAAATATTTAGCCATTTTGATTGATTGATTTTGATGATTAACAATGACCGAAACGGACATGTAACAATTGAACGATTGAATCAACCGTTTAAATACCTTCATTTTTCAATTATTCATAATTCGAATGAATGTACCTGCAATCTACTCTTTTGAATGTTTTTTTTTTAAATATTCAAGAAGAGATTGTTTCTACCCTTCGATTTCGTACATTCAATTTGAATTTATAATTTAGAAATTTGTATTATAATTAAAATTCTCATCGTTTATTCTCATATTTATTATTTTCGTTGTTATTGGGTACGATTGTTATCGAGTATCAAATAAATAAATTTTCTTTAACTGATTATAAATGTTTTGATTGATTGATTGATTGACAATATAATGATTATCAATGTATTGATTGGTGGTGTCAATCAAAAAACAGTTATTACATAATAATCAATAATTGATTTGGGATTTTTTAAAAATTCTTTATTAACACCATTCTCTTTGTTGTTTTATCAAAAAAATGAAAAGATTTTGTCAGTGTTTTGAAATCGTAATAAATTATATGAGTTATTTAATGAAAATGAATATGAGCAATATAGGAAGGTACTTTGTTGTTGATTTTTTTTTTTGGTCAAATTCTTTCTCTGTATATTCCATGGTCAATGTTTTTTTGGTTTTCAAACTTCTTTAAGATCATCCGGATCAATATCATATACATAATCATTATCCGGTTTTGATTGACGATCAATATTACCACGTCCGAATATATCTACGTTAACTTTTGGTTCTTTATCACCCGGTTTTTTATCATAACCAAATTTTACCAAACCAAGCACGGCACTTAAATCAATAAATTTACCATTATTTTGATCATATTTCATTTGAAAAATTGGTCTATTTCAAATTAATTAACAACAAACAATAATAATGATTCATATCAAAAACAAATGATTCAATAACATACCCAATATCAATATCAAAACCTTTATCCGTTTTCTTATAAATTTGACCATTCACCATAAATGAATGAGTGGATAATATGACAATCAATGCCAATAATATTGTTGAGTTTATTTTAATACTTTCCATTTTCGATTGTTGTTGTTGTTGTTGAATTGTCAAAAAAAAAATGTCAATCAATTGTCGAAATTTGAATTGTTCAATGATATTCAATACAAGGCAAGAAACACAGACAAATAAACAAACAAACAATTAAATTAAATTGGAAATGAATAAATGAGAATTTGCAATCAACTTCTTAATATAGAATATAAATAAGAAAAAAATCTTGAATATATTTATACTCGTCATCATCATCATCATCCGAATGAAACAACCAAAAAACAAACGATAACCGGTTCAATCATCCGATTCATTTACGTGAATGTTGTCATCATCATAATAAATCAAGAACAGCCTCAGTGATCAAGACCACTACGCGAAAATGATCATCATCATGATAATCAAAAAAAGTAAATGATTTTAAAGAAAATAAAATTTATTTTAAATTATCCAATTATCATTAAATTTATCATGCATAACAAGGTAAATGTCGTCATCATTCGATTGGTTGGTGATTCATCCATATCGATAATCAAATCATTCGAATGTTTCACATGATTCGATTGATTATTTCAATGAAAATTGAAAAGGTCGTTCTTTGTTTTAATTTTAAAAATTTCAATTAACAAATTCAATTAATTTCCAATTTCAATTCCCATCTTTACAATTCTCATCATTATTTTTGTTGTAACATTAGTTGTTGATGATTTTGATGATCATGATTATTATTATGATGATGATGATTATGATAATTTAAATTTCCTCTTTGTTTGATTTGGTCGATTACTTTTGCATAGATGGCGCATTGTGGCTCTTGATTGTCGTCATCCTCATCCTCATTTCCATCTTCATTTTCATCATCATCATCATCATCATCATTGTTGGTGAATGCACGACGCCGATCGATTATTCGATTATGTTCAGGCTTTTGTTTTGATTGTATTTTACCATTCATTTGTGTTGCTGACATAGGCTGTTTTTTAGCAATCGTTTCGATTATTATTGGTTTTGGCGGAAGTTCTGGACGATTCGGTTCATTCGATATTGATGATGATGATGATAATGGTGGTGATGATGTTGCTGTTTGTAATAGATTTAATTTCTGTCTAAGTTTCATTGGTATCCAATTTGGTACAATTCTAGGATGGTATGGATGTTCCGGTTCATAAATACGTATTCGATTACGGATCAATGTAGAATATGCATCCAATTGTTTTGGTTCCAAAATATGACCATTATTATTATCTGCCGATTGTAATTGTAATGGACAATCATTGTTTGATTTTTCCGGTTCAACATTATTTGATTGTTTCTGTTGCTGTTGTGACTGATGATCATTATCTTTATTCTCGATATTATGTTGTTCTTTTCTTTGTTGTTGTTGTCGTTCATGAATTTCTTGTGCAATTTTCAACAATTCTGATTCCAATTCCAGTGTATAATCTTCGTCATCATTTTGTTGACGTGTCAAAGGAGCCAATGATTCATTAAGACGTTCCATTTCTTCTAATGTTTCATCCAATCGTTTGAGTACTTCACTTTCTTCATTATTAAGCATAGATGATAGTCTATTTCTTGTTGAATTATTCGATGAACAATATGGACAAATACAACGATGTGCTGGAATTCGTTTAACGATTTGTGATTCGGATTTATCATCAATTTTTGTTTCCAATTGTTTCGATTCAATAGCCATTGTTGATGATTGTTGTTCATCAGGTTTTTGTGATTCTTTTTCCATTAAATTCGCTTCTTTCTCAATCATTTCAATCTGTTCGATCTCAATCTTTTCATATTGAGTTTCATCAACGATTTTCGGTTTCTGTTCACATTCAATGTTCATTTGGACTTTTTCTTGCTGGTCTTGTTCGATGGGTAATGATTTTTTTCTTACAACAATATCAACTACAGTATATTCAGGCGTTTTTTTATTTGAATCATTTGTTTCGACTTCTTTTTCGTCATTATCATTGTTTGCTTGTTGTTGATCATCGGAATTATTTTCAACAATATTTTTACTTCGTAATATTTGAGCATATGTATGTGACGATTCCTGATGATAATCAGTTAGAATTACTTTTCTGTTGTTGAAATTTGAAACTTACCTGATCCTGTTGTTCATTGATTTTCTCATCAACATTATCAACATTGATTAACGATTTGATTATAACATCTGCCATAATAGCTTCGGATTCGGTTTCTGTTTTATCAGATTCTTCATTCACGGGAATTTCTTCAGTTTTAATTTCGGGTATCTACTTAAACAAAAAAAAAATGATAATTCTATTCACTTGAGTTGTTTTTCTGGAAAGCATCATTCTTACCGATTGCGTTTCATCAGGTTTAGGTAATTGTGATTCGGATACAATTCGAAATTCAGGTCTATCTGATTCTAATGGTGATGGCAAATTAACGGAATTCAATTGTTGATCAGAATGATGATTTTCATCTTTAAGAAAATCTGGTTTCGGAACTGGTGGCGGTGGAATTTCTTCATTCACTTTTTGTTTTCGTTTTGATTTTTCCAAATTTTTCTCTTCATTATCATTATCAATCGAAGATTTTTTCATATCATCATCCTCATCATTATCATTATGATTATGGCCGGATTCAACGTTACCGGATTCAGGATCCAAATGATCCGATGATTTACTACATAAATTACAATGTAATAACCAAAGTGATATTCGAACCAATAGAATCAACAATAAAATCAATCCAAATATGACAAGAATTTCATTCAGATATAACATAATTTTCGAAATTAACGTATCAATCGTATCCGATTCGAATAAAGACATCTTTTTTTGTGGCACACTCGTTTTTTTGTGCTTATAATCAGCAAAATAATAATAATAATAATAATATCAACGGATATACATTTAAAAAAATGGAATCTTTGAATAATATCAACAACAACAATAACAATAATAAAAAGATTATCACGGATCAATCAATCATAGTTGAAAGAAGGTCACCGATTTAAACATTCGATTCGATGATCAAAATGATTCTCATTTTTTTTGTGTTTTACAATTTGTGATTGAAATCACAAATTGTTTTTTCCATTTCATTCATTATCGATGTAATAATTTGAAATGGAATAATCTTTTTTCTAAGTTAATTTTTTTTTTTGGTGTGGTAATTTTAATGAATAAAATTTCTTTGTTTCTTGGTCGTTATCAGCAGATATGGATTTTTTTTTTTGCTTCTTCTTTATCATGATCATGATTTTTTTTTCTTGAAAAAGATCAAGACATTAAAAAAGATTTGTTCAATGTATGTGTGAATTCAATTCATTAAAATAATTAATATCAATTTTTTTTTTTCGTTGGTTCCCCCCAATGATAAACAAAAAATTATTTAAGGTTTTTCGTTTATCTTTCTCTTTTATCGTTATGAATGTGTTTGCGTGTATTATTTTGATATAATTGAGTGACAACAACATGTCATAACCATTGAATGAGTGGGTGTAGGTTTACATTGAAAACAAAACAAAAAAGATTTGTTATGGAACCAAAACGGAAGAACACCAAAATAAAAGAAAAATGTTCCATGACGTCAAATACCCAAAAATAAAACTGAGAAAGAAAATGAAAATGTTGTTTTGATTGTTGTCACACAAATATTTCAACGCCCAATTTCTACTGAAATTATCATCGATGATGGTGGTCCTTGAATTCAATTTTTTTTCAACTGTCAATTTTATATGACAAGTAGAAAATTCTTCAAAATGAAAATCTTCTTTTATCCATTTGATTGTCAAAGATTTTTTATTCATTCATTCATTCATGATGTGTGTAAACGACTATTTTAGCTGTTATTTACGGCTGTCGATTCGAATGAATTGAATGTTTCATCATTTCAGATCAGGATATTATTAACCCAGAAATGTTTCTTCGTCATTATTTTTTTTGGTGATTGAATTTTCATCAGAAAAACAAACAACAAAAATGATACATGGATAATTCGTTTTTTTATGTCGTTGTTGTTGTTTGTTTTGGGTTGAAACGAGGGAAAAAATCGCCTTTCGATCGTCCATAACAAATATTCTATTGACCATTGGCCATTTATTAGAAAATAAAAAAAGAAATTTAAATTTTAAATTGAAAAAAAAATCCATACTAACATTTAATGTTTGTAGATGATTTAGAGGATCATGCTTGAATTAATTTAATGCTTTTTTTAATATTCATATTTCTTTTCATCTAAATCATTGTTGTTGGAATCGTTGTTTATTGAATAAATAACCAAGCTAACATACATTATCCGACAACTGTATTATGAATATAAAAAACCAAATTTTAAAAAAATTTCAGTTTATCGATCAAGTTTTCGTACCATTAAAGGCAATATTAAAAAAAATGAAATTTTCAAAATATTCGATTTTGTTCAGTCAATTTGTTTCCGGTACATTATTTTGCATATTATTCCAAAAATGGTTAAAAAATTCATTATCATTGACTATGTACCATTGGTATATGGATCTAATGACAAAAAAAAAATATTTAGACTTTATGTATAATTGATTATTAGTTTTCCAAAACTTACTTTTCCGAATAATTTCAGTAGCCAAATATTAGTGGTGGGAATGAAATTAAACAAAACCAAATTAGATATTTCGATTTGTAGGTAGTTGTCATCGTCATCATTGTGTGGGCGGCTTAATGATGATTTTAATAATTGCCAAAAAGAAAAAAAAATTATTCCTAAAATGATACATGAATCGCTGAATCGTGATCGATTTGGTATTATTATCATCAGCATTATATCGTTTTCATCGAATAATCATCAATATTATGACCATCAATATCATGGAATTTTCAATTTGAAATAATCACAGCATGAATGATCACGAATCATTTATTGATCAATTTGATTTATTGTTTCGTTACATTCGAAGACAAAGGAAAAAAAAGTGTAAAGAAGAATTACTGAGGAAAGTAAAAGTGTTCGAATCGATTGTATCGCGATTAATCAAATCGAATAATCGATAGTTTAACCGCCAAAAAAAATTGTTTTTCAAAATGTTATTTATGGAAAAATCAATGAATAAATAATGAAATTTTTTCTTTTGAACAGAAAAAACAACGGAAAATATTGAAGGTTAAATGTCATCGCCAGGATCATTTCAAATAGAAAATCACGATCGAATGGAACAAAGATTTTAAATAATTTCAAACAGCAACAACAACAACAACGGTGATGATTTGTCATCAAGACAAACAAAAATTATCAAAAATAAATAAATAAAATATATTGACTATTTATGGTGGTGGTTAAATAAAATTGTCCTTTTTTTTCCTATCTAGTGATAATAAGTAGGTGTATCATTAGTCAAATTTTTTTAAATTGCCCGATTTTATCATCATTTGGAATTATTTACAATTATATATGATTGTCATTGTTACAATATTTTTTTATTAGTCGAAGCAGAAAAACTTTTCATTTTTTTTTCGAAATAATTCTGAATTATTTGTATCACTTGATTACGGTTTTTTCCACGGTTTGTGTGTGGAAATTTAATTTATCATCATCATTTGACGTTATTTATTTATTTATGATCCTCGATAATCAGATGATGGTTAATAATCAGATAAATTCCATCATTATACATTCATCATTTTTGTACACCGAATGTTTAATAAAATGGGATTTTTTATTTGTAACACAGTAAAAAACTTTGTTATTTGCATGTAATCAATTCTGCTAATTGAACAAACAAAAAATCAGTAGCAGTAGCAGTAATTTATTCAACTTGAAAGTTTTCAATTCATCAATCTATGAAATGAAATGAATTCCAATGAATCGAATAACATTACCGGACATAAACCAGAAAAATAAAATAGAAACATTTGGAAAAAAAAAGTTCCTAGATAAAATTCTTCATAATGGATTTTTGTTGTTGTTGATTCAGAATTCAATTGGAATGATAATGATAGAGAGAGGTCATCATCATCATTTCTAGATAAATTATTTGTTTCAATCGATGATCGAATCAACATCATTATCATTGCGAAAATAAATGGCTAAAGTTTTTTGTTTTCTTGATGTCAAAAAAAAAAATTAACAATGATGATAATAATAAATGATAAAGTTTGGAAAATGAATTTTCTTGTCATCATCATCATCATCATTATCATTTTTCATTCTGGGTCCAGAATCCAAATCATTATCATCAACTGATGTTATTGAAAACAAATGGAATGGAATAAGAAATAAACATTGTTTTTTTTTATAGAAATCTGATTTGTTTCGGATGGATTCAAACAAACGAAATTCTTCACTATTATTATCATCATCATCAAAATGAAAAAAATGAAATTTTATTTCATTTTTGCTTGAAAACATAGAAAAAAAATTACCGGTTTCAGGTCGAAATCTATCATTTTCACTTGATGGTTGTTTAGCCATATAATTTTGAGTTTTTTTTCAAGAATTTTTCTCTTGTCTGTGAAAATTCAGTTGAAAACATTTTAATGATAAAAACATCAATTTTACATTTTTGGTAAATTTTGTTTTGATTCTAAAAAGCTAATAGATCTGAAATGGATAGATATAGTGTCTCTTGTTTATATCAACAAACAAACAAACAAATAAATAAATAGATCGAATCTTCAAAATTCAGAAATGTTTTTTTTTTGATTCTCTTCAGTCTCTCTCTTTTCTCTTCATCAATTTATGATAAAAATTCTTGTTTTCATAAAATTTTTTTATCATCATCATCTTTTTTTTTGAAAATGGTTATGTATCTTGAAAAAGATTTCTTCCATAACTTTACAATTTCTTTTCACCATAATAACGAATATATTTTTAAAAAAAATGTTTTGTTTTGTTTACGATCAATCAATCATTATTGGATTTTGTTGTTGTTGTTGTTGTTGAAAAAATATAAGGCCATCATCAGGTTTTATCTATCTATTTCCAGATAAAATTCATCGATGATGATGATGATGTAAAGTATGTTTCACACTCAAATTTCTTTTCCATTATTGAAATTTGAAAATGTTTTTGTTGTTGTTGTTGTTGTTGAAATTTTCATTTTTTTTTCGTTGTCATCATCATCATCGATAAGAGAAGTTTATTTTAAAATTTTTATAAGTGTTGAAAAAAAAACTCAATTTTTGAACCAAATTCGGAAGAAAAAATTCCATTTTATCAACAACAACAACAACAACAACAAAACATAACCATCGATTCATAATCGGATAATAAGGTGATTCTTGTCATCGATATTCAATGAGAATGATGATCATTGATATTTTTCATTCAATCAATTCTATTTTGAAAATTCAATTTTTGATTGAAACTTGAATTCAAAAAAATGAAATGACAACTTATTTTCAACATATAAAACTTGTTTGATACAAAAAAACATAAACAATAAACATTCAAATGTTGTCAAAAGAAAAGATTTGAAATTTTATCACTATCATTGATTATCCAAAAGGCCATGATAATGATGATGATGATGATTTTTAAATAATAATAATAATAATAATCTTTCAGATGATGAAAAAAAATACTAAATGAATAACTAATGAAATGTAAATGAATGAATTGATAATGATAAACAACAACAACAATAATAATTACCAAAAAAGGAAACAATTGTTTTTCATCATCAGATGATGATATTAATGGAAAGATTATTTGACAGGACAATATGATTGTTGTTGTTTTGAAACATTTTTCTGTTTTGGATAATCAATTTTTTTTTGTTTTGTTCCAATATGATTTTCATGATATTGAATTCATTCGAAACGGATTTGTCAATCGAATTGTTTCGGTTGGTGATAAGTTGTGAAACCATTTTCGACTTCTTATTGAGATTGATAAAAATAACTTGCCGTTTTTTTATCCATTTTGTTATAATGTTCATTTTCCATTATAAAATAAATCACCCACAAGGATAATGATGCTCATTATAATTATGATAATCATTTTTATATGATGAGCATTATCATTATTTTTATAATAATGATAATTTACAATAGAAAAAAATATGGATTATCATTATTATGAGCCGAATAATGATCGAATGGGCAAGGTAAATTATTCATAATGATAATGATGATGATGGTGGTCATCATATTTAACAACAACAACAACAAAAATCTTGGATCGATCCAACAACAGAAAAGAAAATGATGATAATAGAACCATCATCATCATATCACTTTTTTGACTATTTTAACAAACATTTGTTCGATTTTGTTTATTTTGCCACCACCACCATTGTTGATATATTTTCGTTTCACTAAACATCGTTTAATTTATTTATTTGTGATGATGATAACCGTTCCAAAAATAATTATATGTTCTTTCTTGACTTTCATTCAAGCCAAAAAAAAAGAAAAAATGATTCATCATATTTGACCATCTACATTCAAAAAAAAATGCTTAATATGGAACAAAACAACAAAAAAAGATATGTCCCATTTCACTGGAACAGTATTGTTGAATTTATTTATTCATGTTTCTTTCTCCCCCCCATTCTAAACAAAAATGGTTTATGGAAATTTATCATTATTTTTTCTAAAGAAATTCATTCATTCATTCATTCATTCCAAAGAAAAAACTCTAACTTTTTTTTTCATTTTATTCTCTTTTTCAATTTCATTTTTGTTGCAGGTAAATCAACAAAATAAATTCAATGTCGTTCCGTTTTTTTTCTTCTTCATTTCTCGCTTTCCCCATATATCATTCGTTCCAGAAAACAAAAATACAAGCCTTTTTTAGGGTTGATCCTCTTCTCATCCATTTTGATCACTATCATAATATGATGGTGATGATCTTCATTCGAGAATTTTTTTTTCTATTTGATCATCATGATGATGTTGTTGTAGGTGAGAAAAGCCTATGGCTATAAAATGTCCATATTTTTTTTTAAAAAAATACACAACGAAAAAAAATAATATGAAAAGTTTCAAATGAAACATTTATTATTCGTTTAACGTTTATGTTTTATATATTGAATAATATTTAAATATTTAAAGAATTGAAAATGAAATCGGTTTGTGTATATATTTTTGTTGTTGTTGGTGTTTTTTTGCCTGTCATGATCTAATTCGTTTTGTTTCGTAAATTTCTGGTTTTTTCAGTTTGTCATCATATTGTTTATCCATTGTTTTGCTTCGATAACGTTAGCATTCCCTTTGGAACAACCAATACATTATTTACCATATTCATTTGGTTATCAAACAGCCGATGGCCAAACAAGACAAGAACAAAGCCATAATGGTATTGTAACCGGTTCGTTTAGCTATACCGATGCTAATGGTGATTTACGACAGGTTTGATTTGTTCAATAATTTTTTCTGCAATGCAGAATTCTTTAAAATTCAAAATCATTTCATTCAGGTAAAATATACAGCCGATGAAAATGGTTATCGACCACATGGTGATATCGGTGTTGATCGTCGAACAGCTGAAATTGCTGCACAAATGGCTGCATTAGCACCTAAAGGAGCGATATCAACATCATGGACACCATCACAATCATCATTTCAAACATTTGATAAATTGATTGCACCACCACCACCACCGTCAGTTGCTATTCCAACATTCCATACCCAACCATCATCAATACCACAACCACCCGCACCAAAATCAACATCATGGAATCATTTTTCATCGGCTGCATCAACCGCAAATTTTGTTCATGCTTCAGCACCAATCATCGGGCCATCAGGTTATCAAGTCGATACACCTACCCATAAAATCTGGGTAAAATATTAGATTGATTACCGATACTATTAAGAAAAAAAAAGGAAATGAGAAAAATAGAAATCCTGGTATTAGCTTTATGTGAAACAAAAAAAAGTACATTAATTTTATTTTATTTCATTTTTTTTTTGTTGTTGTTGTTGACAAAATCAATTTAATTTTTTTCTTCTAAAAAAATAGGTTTTTTTTCTTCTATTCTTTTCATTTTAAAGAACAAAGAAATTTTCCCATTTTCTTTTCAAACTCCAAATCGATTGTCTCCAAATTGTTTCCCAAAAACCCAAAATTGAATTGAATTGAATTAAGAAAATAAAAAAACCCAAACTATTAGTAATCAATCCTAAGTGAATTTTTTTTTCTTCTTCAAATTTCAAAATGTCAACTTTCTGAAAACATTATTTTCATTATCAAAAGCCTAAAGGGCATTATGTAATAAATTTTCTCATCATCCATTACCGTTACCACAGCCACCAACAATACATTGACATTCTGTAATAATTAATGTCAATCATTATTTGATCGGAAAAGAAAATTTTCTTTTCTTTTTTTTTGTAATGAAAAAACGATCGTATGAATGGTAGGAATCCATTAAGATTCAGATAGAATCTTTTACAATTTCAATAATTGTCATTCAACACTTCCCTTTCAAACAAGCCAAAATTGTTGTTTGCATCATTTACATTTGGAAAATGGAGAAAAATCAGTTTTCAGGTTTGAAACATTTAACATTCTTGTAGGAATTAAAAATGAAAATAATTAAAAATGACTAATGTAATTTGTGTTATAGGAATTTTTGTTTTTGTGTTTTGTTCACTTTCAATCATGTGCGGGCTAATTGATCAAATGATATTTATTGAAATTGATGATATCGATCAATTAATGATTAATCTTGAAGATTGGTTTTTCGGGAAAAACTGCTGTTGTTTTTTCTGTGTGTGTTTAAATTAGATTAGTTGTTGTTTGTTTTTGTTCTGCAGCAACGGAAGTAAACAAAAAAAAAGAATTTCTTCTTTTTAATGGGTTTTCATTTTCGAGAAAAAAAACAAATCCATTGTAACGTTTATCTACAACAACAATTGAGAATTTATTGCCACCATTAATCGCCATTCTCAGGTATATAATTTTGTAAACGGAAGAAATGTTTTGTTTTTTTTCTTATATATCATTATTTATTTCAGTGCGTGATATGTGAAAATGATGTTTATCAATGAAAATGTTTCGACAATTTTATTTGTTGTTTTTTCTCCGGCTATATTCCGTGAATAGTAGTGTATTATTATTTCTGTGTGAAAGGCTGATTTCAATTCTTTGAAAACAGGAAAAAAACGATAGAATCAGTAATGTTTTCACGACGAAAAAAAGACGATCATTAAAGGAATAGAAAAAAAAAGAAATCAATAAAAAAATATACCATTTTACGAAGCATATGTGTGACTGAAGAATAAAAACAAAACGAAAAGAAGAGAAAAAAACCCCGAATAAACATCATTTTGATTAAGAACAACACACATGTGTCATATCAGCAAAAAACAACAGAATAAATAAAACATTCCAATGTCTTTTTTTATATCTGCTATTTTTACATATGTGACTTTTCCCTTGCAGAAAAAAAACAAATAAAAATTTTGCACTATTTTTGTATATATTTCTATATATTTGAAATATTGAAAACATTAAACGAAAGACACGTATTTTATTCAGTAGATTACGACAATAATGGTGAATTATTTGAGAAAAAAAAAACAATGAACAGAAAGGTATCTGACAATATGAGAATCTCCAATATTGTAATGGATGAGATAGATTTGAATTTAAATGAGAATCCAATGTAATGGTGATAATGGTGATGATGATAATGGCAGCGATGGTAATGGCTGTCATGATGATGATAATGGGAGATGCCTTATGACGTAAATTATCATCATGGTTGTTTGTAGGATGTATGCTTTCTTTTTTTTTGTTAATTAATTCGAATCAAGATAAAAAATTTCTTCAAGTAATTTCATTTCAATGAATGTAACAAAAAATAAATGCAATATTTTGGTAAACTAATTATCATTTTTTCGTTTTTGTCGGCGAGTATGGAAAAATATCTATCTTGTTATCACCAGCAATGATGATGATGTGTTTGGGAAATAATGTTGTACATAAGATAATAATGTAGTCAAACATGATATTCAAAGAGAATAACACACTTTATCTTCTTTTAATTATTTTTTTCAACCAAACATTATCTGTGAAATCTGTGGAAACATCAATTGTGAAAATTGATCGATTTTTCTATTTTGAATTTTCGGTTTTCGGTTTTCAAATATCATTAATGATCAATTGAAAAGTAACAAAAAAAAACTATATTATTATGTTTTCCCAGAAAAGATTCTTTGTTGATTGAATTCTGGACTGGGATTCTGTTTATGTTTTCAATTTTATTCTTTTTTTCAATTTCAACATTTTCTTTGGAAAAAAAATAAATAAATAAATAATTCTTTTCATTTCATTCGATTCTTTCATCATCAATGTCTTGAATAAGTGTTTTGAATAATGAATGAGAATGAAACGAATTAAAAATTGCTCAAGAAAAAAAAAATTCTTCGCTCATTCATTCATTGTATTTGTTAAAGTGTCGAAATTCCTATCAAAAAACGGAAACAAAATTAAAGATTTCGGCAATATAATATGTATGTAGCGGTAAACTGAATGATTGTGAAACCTGGATAAGAAAAAAAAAGATAAGAGGATTGATGTGAAAGAAAGACAAACTTTTTTTGCATTTGTATCTTAATTTTTTTTTTTGTTTCTTCATAGTTTCTTGGTTTCATATTGGATGTTATTAAGATGTTTTTACTCTTTTCATATGCAGAATATTCTTCTTCTTTTTTCAAAAGACAAACAAATCAAAGTTTTTTTCTTTAAAAAAATGTTTTAAATTCTTTTTTCATTTCAAATAATCGCTATTTTCTTTCGCAATTTATGCACTGAAATTGATCTATGTTGTCATTCAGTTTCAGTTTTAGTTTCAAAATCATTATCGTTATCATATTCATGATCGATTTTTTTATTTTCTTTGTTTGTTTCTGCAAAAGAAAAAATTGTCATTATAAAAAACAGGGAAAAAACGACGACAACAACACAGAAGAATTATTCATTCTTTTACAAATAAATAACCAGTGTATGTAATATTCTATGGAAAAATATTTCTATATCAGAATCAATACAATTTGTATAGATTCTGGTATTTGTCGAATAGTGTCCGTGTGCGTCTGGCATATTATATAGAATATCATCCAATTCATACCACTTCTACTTCTACTTTTTTTCAATGTTTTTTCGATTGAAGAGTTCAAGGATCAAAGTAAAAAATTATTCCGATATTGTAATGCTGTTAGCTCAACCAAAAAAAAATCGGTAGTAAGATAACTGTAAAAAAAAGCAATGTAAAAAGTTCCACCAAAAATAGAATTTTGCAGAAGAAGCAGAAGTTTAAATCGAATCTTTGTGTATGTGTAATATATGGATGATGATCATCATGATGAGGATAGAAGAAATTCAAACAAAACCCAAAATGACGAAATAAAATAGACTAGAATTTATAACGATTGTGGCTACGACGACGACGACAACAACCAAAACAACAACAGCAAAAACATAAACCAAAAACATAAAACCAAAAACAAAACAAAACAAAACAAACAGCCAGCAACAACGAACAAAACCATTTGATTTTGGTTTGGTGAATTTTGTCAATTCAACAATCATATGTAAAAAAAATATATAGATNAAAAAAAGATAATAGGATCGATGTAAAAAAAAAGACAAACTTTTTTGCATTTGTATCTTAATTTTTTTTTTTTTTTTTTGGTTTCTTCATAGTTTCTTGGTTTCATATTGGATGTTATTAAGATGTTTTTACTCATTTCATATGCAGAATATTCTTTCTTTCTTTTTTCAAAAGACAAACAAATCAAAGTTTTTTTTCTTAAAAAAATGTTTTAAATTCTTTTTTCATTTCAAATATTCGCTATTTTCTTTCACAATTTATGCACTGAAATTGATCTATGTTGTCATTCAGTTTTAGTTTCAAAATCATTATCATAGTTATCATATATTCATGATCGATTTTTTTATTTTCTTTGTTTGTTTCTTGCTTGCCTTCAAAAGAAAATTGTCATTATAAAACAAGGAAAAACGACGACGACGACAACAACACAGAAAAAGAAATGGAATTTTTTACAAATAAACAACCAGTATGTAATATTCTATGAACAAATATTTCTATAGCAGAATCAATACAATTTGTATAGATTCTGGTATTTGTCGAGCATTCTAAGTGTCCGTGTGTCTGGTATATTATATAGAATATCATCCAATTCATACCACTTCTACTTCTACTTTTTTTATTTCAATGTTTTTTCCATTGAAGAGTTCAAGGATCAAAGTAAAAATTATTCCGATATTGTAATGCTGTTAGCTCAACCAAAAAAAAACGGTAGTAAGATAACTGTAAAAAAAGCAATGTAAAAAGTTCCACCAAAAATAGAATTTTGCAGAAGCAGAAGTTTAAATCGAATCTTTGTGTATGTGTAATATATGGATAATGATGATGAGGATAGAAGAAATTCAAACAAAACCCAAAATGACGAAATAAAATAGACTAGAATTTATAACGATTGTGGCTACGACGACGACGACAACAACAACCAAAACAACAACAGCAAAAACATAAACCAAAAACATAAAACCAAAACAAAACAAAACAAACAGCCAGCAACAACGAACAAAACGTTAACCATTTGATTTCTTTTTGGTTTGGTTTGGTGAATTTTTGTCAATTCAACAATCATATGTAAAAAAAATATATAGATAGATAGTGTGTGTGCGTGTGTATAATTCGTAATTCAAATTTTCAATTGAAATTGAAATTGGTTTTGAAAAAATCAAAAATCACAATCAAAAATCAATGATCGACAAATAAATTTATTGTTGTGCTTAATATATTTGAAGTGGATTTTTGTTCTGGTTTCAGAACAAAAAAAAAATTCACATTGTCATCATTGACATTTGGCAAAAAAAAATTCTATCGACTAAGAATGGAAGAAGAAAATTTACCCAAATCAGCAACAACAACAACAATTGATTTTGTCATTCAATCAATTGGAAATGATTGAATGCCATCCGATGCATCATTCATTGTGTCATTCGTTCGTTTATCATCGAAAAAAATGATGATGATGATAATTCAAATACAACAAGTTAGGTAAATAAATAGATTTTTTTTTCTTTTAAATTTAAAAAACATCGAAAATGTCGTCATCATCGTCATCATCAGTATTGACTACAACAACAACAACAGCAAAAACAACCACCACTGGTGATGATGATGATAAAATAATATCATCATCGATTATTGATCAGTCAACGGAACAATGTAATAATAATTCACAAACACCGACAATAATTAATACAACAACAACAACAACAACATCGAATAATACCAACAACAACAACAACAACAATGTTATTATAACAACAAATGAATTAAAATCACCAATCAAAAATCGTTCAAGATCTAATTCAACAATGCTCACATCATCATCATCAACAACATCATCATCAACATGTTCAATATCATCATCAATAGCACAACAACAACAACAACAACAACCTTCAATCGAAAATGATATTCATTCAACAGGAAGTGGAAATAGTAGTGGTGGTGGTGGTGGTGGTTTTACACGTTCTCGTGGTCTAGCAGCACGTGCACGTAAAGGTGCATTAAAAAAGAAAACAATATTTGCCGTACAGGATCATAAATTTCTTCCACGTTTTTTTAAACAGCCAACATTTTGTTCACATTGTAAAGATTTTATATGGGGATTTGGTAAACAAGGTTTCCAATGTCAGGTTTGTTTTGTTTTTCAAAATTTTTTCTAGTTTCTTTTTCTATTGATTAATGACGATGGTAGAAAAAAAACCCGAATATTTTCTTGGTACAGAATGAAACATTATCATGTTACATTCATTGATATGATTGATTATGATGGAGAAGAATATATATTGCGAATAAGAAAATCCAATTCTAATTTTTTATTTTTGAAGACTTTTGTGAAATTTGTTTACTGTATTTTTTTCTGGCCATAGGGAATTTTCTTTTGTTTATTTAAAACTAAATTATGGCATGAATTACTTTGACAAAACAAACAAAACAAAAAAAAAATCATGACAAAATAATTGAAGACAGAATTTTGATATTTAATTCTGGTTTTTCTTTGCAAAAAAAAATTCCTATATGTATTTACATTACAAAAAAAACAACATATTAAATGTCCTTGATTTTGAATTCTGAACTGAATAATGTTTATTCTTTAAGTTTGCCGATTCTTTTCGTTTTCGTTTTTTTCTGTTCGACGAATATTTGTTTTCGGCCTTTTTCAATTCAATCAATGGATTCTAATGACAATAATTTAAATGCTGAATTATTTTGAAATTGCGGTTGATAAAAAAAAGAAAAGAAAGAAAATTGTTTGCGATTCATTCTTATTACATATTCCGTTTTTTTTATATTTGGGTTTATTATTACAGCCACTGTATAAATACTGTGTGTGTTGGTGCAAATCAAAAAAAAAGAAAAATTCGGTGCATTTTTTTGCATTCGTTGCTTAAGATCAGTGTCATAATCATTTAATGAATTTATTTCTTTCTTCTCAACACCAAACACACATTTTCTTTTGCTTCACTGATGGATTCAGTCAGTGTTTTCTGGATATTGCTTTGACAAATATTTAGTTTGTATTATTTAGGGAGCAACGAATAACAATATCAAACGAATCAGCAAAAAACAAAAAAAAACGGTGTAAATAGACGAAAATGATGGAACCAAAACAAAAAAAACAACAACAAAAAAATGATTCGAAAGCAAAACAAATTCAAGCTGACGCCCGTATTTCAATTATTTGGGCCAAATGAGAAATAATGAAATTAAAGAAGAGAGAATCAGAAAAATGTTGGACATCATCAATAGCCGATTGAAAACAAAAAAAAAACTTTTTGTTTTCTTTTTCATTGAAACTCTCTTAAACCACTAAATTTTTCATTTTATTTGAATAAAAATCTTACAAATCCAAATCTGTGATTCTCAAATAAAGTGTTGATGATAGAAAAATTCATTGATTTTTTCAGAGGAATGAAGAGATAATGGGCTATGAAATCTTTTGGGAAATGACCTTATCTTGACCTTGATAATGAATTTTTTTGTTTCATTTTGATAGATTTTTTAAACCATTCGGTAATCGACTAATATTCATTCATATATCAAACATTCAGGGCGTTTACCGTTATCCAACATGGCAGACATATCGGTTATGTCATTATGTAATGATAATTATAGGCTTTCTATATGCAGAAATTCGACCAAACAACAAACAACAACAACAACAAATGAAAAGGTGAAAAAAGATAAACGAAAATCTAAAAAATTTCGAATCAATAACAACAAAACCGGATTTATTAATTTTTTTTCACTTTCTCATTATAATGGAATTTGTTGTTGTTGTTAATGATGATAAAGGATTTGTTGTTGTTTTTTTTCTAGTTCATTAAGTTTGTGACAATATTTTCTATTGTGATAATTCCATATTGTGCAATGCTTGCTTTTTTGTAATGTGTTTTTGTGATTGTATTCAGGATTTTGTTTTAGTTTTTCTTTTTTCTTTCTTTCATATTAATTCAATTTGAACGAATTATGGTTGTGGGAACAAAAACGGTAAACGAAAATCAATCAAATCTGTCAATATTTTTTTGTTTTGTTTATCTGTTTGTGGCTGTTTAAAGCAAACAACTACTGCCGTTTGGTTTAGATTTTTTTTTTCTCTTTGGAACAGAACGTCTATGGAACATTCGTTCGGGAAACATTGATTTACAGGGGAAAAAAATTGTTTCTAATTTTTTTTTCGGTAAATAAAAATGTCTAAACATAATAAGACACTGGTGATGTTGTTTATAGATAATGATATCATGTTTTGTACATACTGGATGTGTGTGTGTGTGGGTGTGTGGGTGTCCAGAAAATCTGGACATCTTTTTTCAAAAAATTTCTTATTTTTTCCAGCAAAAATAAGGAGTTTTTTTTGATTGAATTTTTCAATAACAACAACATTTTTTAAAAGGAAAAAATTCTTTTTCAAATCGATCAAACATCGTAACTAAACTCGTATCAAATGAAACGTGATTGAAATTTTCTATATTTTCTTTTTTTTTGCCAATTATTTTTGCTTATTCTTGTTGTTGTCTTATTAGTTCTTTTCATCATAATCGAAGAGAATCAATATGATTGCAGGCATCTTTGTTGGTTTGTGTAAAAGGTGTCAATTTGTCTGCCTGTGTCTGTGTGTGATTTGATTTCTAAAAAAGACAAAACACTTTTTTTTCACAAACAATTTCATTCAATTTTCAATTTCCAGTTGAATTCCAAATTGAAAATTTTGCTAATGATGATGATGAGGATTCTTGTACTTTTTGGATTTGTTTTTTGTTTGTTCAAATTCAACGAGAAACAAAAAAACATTAATTATTTTTTTCAGTGATTAATAATGTAAATAAAATTAATCACTTTTTTCGGTTGTTTGATGGACTGGAAACAAAACAAAAAGGGTTATCAAATTATAATTTCAATGTTTATTTTTGATTAAAATCACATTATCATTTTGTTTGTTTGTTTGTCGGTTGTCATAAATTGCAAAAAAGATTATCGAGAATGAAACATTGTTCATGTTATCAATGTAAAATTGTAAGAGATTTGCTTGTTAACAAACTTTAAAAATTTAAAAATTTTCAATTTAAATTTACATAAAAATAAAAATAATAATGATGATTATGATTATAATCCTCTTTAGTCTACATATCAACAGGAAAACTAAACATAACGGCAAAAAAATTTGCTTGTTTTCCAAAATCAATCAATCAATCGATCGATCGATTGAAGTAATTTTGTTGTTGTTGTTGTTGTTGATCCCTTACGACAACAACAACAACAACAAAAAAAGGATAACAACAACTACAAACAAATAAATAATTATCTTTGAATGTGATTGAAATAATGATGAAAAATTATTATTATTATTAATTTCATTTTGCATTCATTCATTCAATAATCATTAATATATTTTGTTCATTTTTTTTCTCTACCAAACAAATCAATAATCATAGATATGAAAGAAATGCCAAACAAAACAAAACAAAAAAAAATCCAATTCCTTCATTCATTCAAATTCATTATTAAAACATTGATATATTCATCATAATCATTAGTTATTATTTTTCAATCGATTTTTTTTGTTAACATTTCATTCATTCATTCACATTGTTTGATTATGTAATGTAATGTATTTTTTTCTGTCTGTTCTGTTCTGTTCTGTTCTTTTCTTTATTTTCTATTATCATTAATTATTCTAATAAGTAAATATTCATGATGAATATTATTCTTGTTTTGTTTCGTTTCGTTTGTATTATTTCGTCCTGGTTTTCTCATTGTTGTTATGATTGAATTTTTTCCCGAAATATTAGATTAAGTAGTGGCAGCAGCACGGTGATGTAATAAATTTCCAGTTTTTTTTGTTTTGTTTGTTTGGCCCGGTTGTAGCCTCTGTTTATAATCATATTATGATAAATAATCTTTTTATTTTCCATGTAATTCGATAGAGCAGAATTATCCTAAAAATAAAATGGAAATATATTTTTTTTATTATTCTTCTTCTCTCATTCATTTTCTATGTTGTAAATATGTTATTAATAAAATCATATATGATTAGTAGTGATAAGATAGATAAAGATGGTAAAGAAACATTTTTTTTGCTTTTAGGATTCTTTTTCTTACGAGAGATCTATAAATACCAAATAAAATTATTTCGACATATTGTTGATTATATTGATGACTAGTTTTTTCGTTTATTCATTCATTCATCCATTCGAAACAATCATATTGTGAAAAGCAAATCAAATGAGAAAATGTAGTAAAAATTAAAGAAAGAATGGGATATTCAATGAATATAATACTTATCGTTGTTGTTTCAATTTGTTTCTTTTATGATGTGTAATCATCATCATCATCATCGGATCAGAATCTTTGTCAGAATCAGAAGAAAATTCTATCATTATTTTGTTTATAATCAGCATTTATTGTTGTTGTTGTCATTTCAAGAGAAACCAACAAAAAAATCATTTCCTCAATGAACAAAAAAAAAGTTTTTCTCTTCATATTTAACGAATGAATAATCATGTTTCAGAATAATAATCATCATTATGATTGTCTGTACGCAAAATTTGATTGTTGAAGAAAAATAATGACAATTTACAATTACAAATTGAAGAATGAATGAATGAAGGAATGAATTGTCGAAACCTGAATCACATATTTTGAATGATATTTTCGATGATCAAGATTATTTATGAATTTCTGAATATTCGTTTTTTTTTTGTTGTTGCAAATTAATGTTAATGTTCGATTCTAAATCAACCATTTAATGGCTAATAATGTTGAAATAGAAATAGACAAAATTGATTCCGACCAACCAAACATGAATTTGAATGATGCTTTTTTTTGTTGGGTTTTTTTTATTCTTCACTGTTTCAACCAACTAATAATAATCATAATAATGATAATAAGTCACGTCGTCAATAATATGTTTTTTCAAAGGTTTGATTTATTCAGGTTTTGTTTGTTTTATTCACACACAAGATTTTCTAGTTCCAAAGAATCGAACGTGCCCTGTCAAACAATTTTCTTGTAAAACATTTGTTTTTTTTTTTTTTTTTGTTTTACTTACATAATTTTAGTTGTTGTTTCTTTGGGTTTTGATCAATGTTTGGTCGTATTTTATTTTTAGATTTTCTCATAAAATTCAATGTAA